CATAATTATTATTAAGGGTGAGTGTAAGAGGATTGTTATTATCAGTTAGGCCAGTCAACGACATAAGAAAAAAGCCACAAGTCGTTCGCCGTCATTGGCTGAAGACAAGCTACAAAACGTTTTTGAATTATTTAAACAGCGTCTTCCCGACAGAAGCTGAGTATTACTATGGCCTCATCTATGGATGGAGGTAGTTATCATAGTTCATCACTGCGTCTTAGACTCTGTATAACTAATTGAAATGTAAAGAAATTGTGCCAAAGGTAATATCTGGATTGGGCATTAACTTATTTCTCAGATCCCACTAGAAATTGGATATATAACTGATGATAATGTAGACCATTAAGAAAACCGTACAGTAGACCTACATACATGGGGAATTCGTCAATAAGTGACACGGATAACACTGTAGCATAAATTTCGTCCCTGCACAAAGCGGAAGAAGATGGTGACAGCTCTAGAAATATATTATTTCGTGTAATCTAATCTTTATCAAATAAAAGCTGGTTTAGGTTTAGTTTGAGACAGGATGAACGGGTATCTTGGTACATCTCCTCGGGAAGTGAGACCCGGCAAACGCTGCGGCTTGCATGCCAATAGGTTTCTTTTTTTGTTCCGTTCGAACACAACACTGATGACAGCAAAGAACACCTTGATAAGATTTTTTGATAAAACTACCTAGGCCTTGCCATTTTACCCAGCAGACCAATGCTTTGTAAAGTGGAAGTACTGCGCAGTGGGGAATAAAGAACAGTTTGATCAGATATTAAAAATAACCTGATAGGGCCTTGGGAAGTCCACCCGCGGCCCCGTGGAGGTACCTTGAGAACGCGGGGATAGATCAGACAATAGTGATTGCAGGAGTAGTGAACGATTTCTACGGTGACCAAGGTGTTTCTGACATCCCGTGTGATGGATGGTTACTACAGAGCGGCTCAAATTCCACCCTTTAAGCTCCGTGATTTCAGCTGTTGACTGTCGCTCTGTGCTCCGTTGGAATCTCCCGTTATTGGCACATGAGACTCGTAAGGAGGCGGTACCAGTTGGCAGACTGCCATTGGTTCAAGTTTAATTGTGTAAATGAGTGAAGGAACCTAACCAGGACTGCACATACTATTCAATTATTAACAGTGGACTGTATCCCGATCCTCGTCTCCTTCTTTTTTTTTTTCTTCAAAACAAATGTCGTCGACTTGGATGTTCAACTTTACTTTTTAATTTTATTTTGAATGATTGATGATTTTCAAATATCGAACATATAATTAAAAACAAAACAATAGCAAATTCCAAAATTTGAATATGTTACTGTTAGAGAAAGGTAAGCATACGCAACATATACCCTAACGTGAACGATGTTTCGTATTTATAATAATACGAAGAAAACTTCATATAGGTGCATGGTAACAGATAATATTCTCTAGGCGCTGTACAGACGGATGCAGTGTTTGTTTCTAAATTGAAAATAAAAACAGATACAAATACACAATATTTGCGGAGACAACAGGCCGTACACATACCCCGTATATTTAAAAAAAGCAAGGTATCAAATTGGAATATTGTCTGTACGGGACTCCTTTCGGCTCTTTCCTAGTCTGGAACACCACTTGTCAGTCTGTTGACCAAAATAGATAGGCAACTCTGATAAACCCGAAAATAAATAGCGAGCCTGGTATGTAGCGCCTGCCCCTCTGCCTGTCGCCATGGTGTTCGCATGTAGAGAGGGACTAGCTGTTTAGAAATAGGGAGGGCTCAGCGCTCCGCATGAGGCAAATGATGTTGACAAGCAAATAGCGTTCGTCTATCACCGGGTGACTTAAATAGATGCAAATTTTCTTTTTTTATGTATGTTATTTGTTTTTGAGTTCTACAGGTAAAACTGCGTAAGTTACATAAATATGAGAAAAATGAAAAAAAAATTGAGTTGATTTTACGTGTAGGTCTATATTACATGTTTAGTTCAGACACTAGTATGTGTGGACTAATATCGCAAAGATGTAGTCCTAAATAGAATGGTAGTTATAGCTTATATTATAAGGGGGTATAAATGTATTACTATTCGTTCACATTGTCTATTAAATCGCATTTTTGAATTTTTGCTTTAGACGTGTTTGTTTGAGGTAGGAAAATGTAAAGTCGCGTCACATGGAATATTGTGAAAATACCCAAAGAGAAGTTTTAAAAAATGGTGAGATTCATTGCGATAATGGGACAAATCTGACAGTACATGTACACGCTTGATGCCTTCCGTGAGAAATTTTTGTATAAAATTATTTACCAAGTCAGTTTATTATAACTTTTGATTGTAAGGCCATTTTGGTTGGCCTGCGTGTTGGTCTGCAAATGACATAAGACTACTAATAGAATGGCACTAATGGCGCTTCCCGATATAACCTTCTTCCGACCAAAATATGTCAAACCCCGTCAACAAACGCTCACTTACAGGTAAAAGATCGATAGACCTTAATTGAAAAATGATGAGAAACGCACCGGCGAATCATATTTCGAAATCTTGCCTATGCTCGCCCGTGTAGCCAACGTCAGTGTTACATGCCCAGAAGCAGGATAAACCTAAATTTACCTCCACCAATACACATTCTGAACAACCTACGAATACAGCGAGCCCATGGAAGGGTTTGATAATAAGTAAAATCTTGTGATTTCACCAAGGCTTTGTCAGGGAGTTTCCCAAGATTATTATTTTTCACTCTGGCTAATCTTATTGCACCCACTGCCTGTGTGGCAGTAGCATCATTGCGATTATTCATCATTAGGGGGGCCTCCAAACCAAGACGTTCAAAACATGACAACAAACGCTTTGTCCACTTTTGTGTGAGGCTGACTCCATCGAGCACTGAATAACCCCAAAAGACATTTTTGATTATTTTACTTTCTTTTTTCTTTTCTTTATTTTTTTTTTATTTTTTCTTTATTTATTTGTTTTTTTTTAGACACACACACACACACACACACACACACACACACACAGA